GTCTGACGCTTCACTGTACGCAACAAAGTATGCGGCAAGATCCATTGCGGCCACAGTGGCCTCGCGTAGGCTACTGTGGCTCAAAAATTGGAAGACAGACCTGAGGTCCAAATGGCGTCTTTCGACGTCCAAATACAGTGGAGTAGCCCTATTTGGTTCCATTCTGGACCCACATGTCAGCGAAGGCAGAGACAAGAAAAAAATCCTAGTACATCCATCGAAGAAGTTAGACAGGAGAGGCAGTCAGGACTTCCGGAGACAGGGCTCCCGCCCAGGAAGCCCCTGGGAATGGAGACAGCCCTTTAGATCAGGGCAATCCTGGGACTGGCCCAGAGGCTCACGATCCTTCTACCCGAGACAGGATCGAACCCAGGATCGCCAAAGCCCGGGAGCCAGGGGCCAGTTCCAGTCCAGACGCCCATATAGGGGAGTGGGAGGCAGATCCTTTAAGCGTTCCAAGTGACGCCAAACAGGATACTCCCATTGGGGGTCGGTTAGGAAATTTCATCGAGGTCTGGGAGCAGACCACGACCGACGCCTGGGTTCTGGAAACGATCAGGCATGGCCTGACCTTAGACTTCTGTTCTCCCCCACCAAACCAGTTCATCAGATGTCCCATCTCCAGAAGAGTACACAAGACGAGGCTGATAACTTCGGCCATAGCCCACCTCCTGTCAATTCAGGCCATAGAGAGGGTACCAAAGGAAGAGGAGGGAAGAGGATTTTATTCTATCCTCTTCGTTATCCCAAAGACACCAGGAGGGTGGAGAGCAATCTTGGACCTGAAGGGCCTGAACTATTTCATAAAGTACAGGAGGTTCAAGATGCACTCCTTGAAATCCAACCTAGCCAGCGTCAGGGAAGACGATCTATTATCCTCAATAGATCTCACAGAGGCGTACCTACACATCCCCATCCATCCCAGCTACCGGAAATTCCTCAGATTTACCTACGCGGGTCGGCATTACCAATACAGGGCATTACCCTTCGGACTATCATCAGCACCAAGGGTATTCACCAAGATCCTAGCTGTAATAGCGGCCCATCTCAGGTTGATCCCGGTTCGCGTTCAGTTTTATCTGGACGACATCTTGATTCAATCCAGATCTCGGGAGCAAGCAAGGGCAGATCTCGAGACCACAATCCGAACCCTACAGGGGCACGGATTCTCGGTCAATCTAAACAAGAGCCACCTCATTCCCTCAAGGAGACTGCAACACCTGGGCGCGGTGATAGACACGTCACAGTGCAGGGTATACCTTTCCCAGGAGCGACTGATCAGCATATCCAAGCTAATTCACCAAATTCAAAAGATCAGGAGAGTGTCCTTGCTACAACTCTCGAAGCTCCTGGGGAAGATGATATCTTGCATGGGCATCATCCCATGGGCAAGGCTCCACTCGAGGGAGTTGCAGTGGTTCCTCCTACCCTACCAGAGGAGGAACCTCAGCACCTCCAACAAGAGTGTGCTGGTACCAGCACGGGTGATGAAATCACTAAAATGGTGGCTATCCCCCACGACACTCAAGGGGAGCATATTCAGGGAACCGAACAGGGTCACACTCATGACAGACGCGAGCCTGTTCGGATGGGGAGCCCACCTGGGAACCCAGATAGCACAGGGCCAGTGGGGACAGAAGGACCTGTCACACAGCATCAACTGGCTAGAGCTCCGGGCCATACACCTGGCCCTCCGTCATTTCTCTCACCTAGTAACGAGGAGGCACGTCCTCGTGCTAACAGACAATGTAGCAGCCAAGGCACATGTAAACAAGGAGGGAGGAACGAGATCAGTGGAACTAATGAAGGAAGCATTGGCTCTGGCTCGGTGGGCAGAAACCAATGTGAGTTCCATCAGAGCGGAACACATCTCAGGGGAGACAAACACCCAGGCAGACTCCCTGAGCAGAGCCAAGGTGGACCAGTCGGAATGGCGTCTGGACCCGGTCTCTTCGAGGAGATCTCCCGGAGGTTCGGACAACCGCACCTAGATCTATTTGCCAACCACAAGAACACACAACTCCCCAGGTTCTTCTCCAGATTCCCGTCCCCGGGATCGGAGGGAACGGATGCTCTCAGGTGCCGGTGGCCGGCGCAACTCCTGTACGCCTTCCCACCGCTGCCATTAATACCGGCGACCATACGCAAGATGATCCTGGAGGGCGCAGAGATGGTCTGCATTGCCCCTCACTGGCCATGGCGCCCGTGGTTTGCCGACCTCGTGGACCTTTCAATATCACCTCCGTGGAGGATTCCCCCGGACAGGGTAAAACTCAGTCAGGGCAAGCTTGTACACCCAGATCCCCAGTGGCTACATCTAGCCGCTTGGCATTTGAGCGGCAAAGCTTAACTAAACAATCTTATTCGGCAGGGGTGATATCGATCATACAGGCATCACGAAGAGCGTCCACTAATAGGATTTACGACGCTACATGGAAGGGATTTTGTAGGTGGTGCGCTTCGCTTCACCTAGACCCGACCGCAGTATCTATCCCAATATCCTAGATTACCTATTGGAGGGTCTTAATAAGGGCCTGTCAGTCAATACTATCCGCAGACAGATATCGGCCCTCTCAACTGTACTCTCCTGCGACAACTTAACTTCCCTAGCACAACATCCAGCGATTAGTGCCTTTTTAAAAGGGGCATCTAACACAAAGCCCCCAGTCATACACAGGTACCCGTCCTGGAACCTGCCTAAGGTCCTTCTAGCCTTGACATCAGCACCCTTCGAACCTCTTGAAACATGCTCACTCCATCACCTATCACTGAAGGTATCTTTCCTTGTGGCAATTACTTCAGCAAGGAGAATCTCAGAACTAGCAGCACTGTCAGTAAGGAAGGATCTGTGTACCTTTTTCAAAGATAGGGTCGTTCTTAGACCAGACCCGACCTTCATCCCGAAGGTAAATAGCATCTTTCACAGATCTCAGGAACTTACGCTTCCTGATTTCTGTCCAAGACCCAAACATAGGCTAGAACACAGATGGCACAAGCTAGACGTGCGGAGAGCGCTGTGTTTCTACGTGAAACGCACCTCGGCTTTCCGAAAGACTGAAGCATTATTTGTGTCCTTTCAACCAGCAACTATGGGAAAGAAGGTATCTCCTTCCACCATAGGCAGGTGGATCAGAGCCTGCATAGCGCAGGCCTACGTCTCACAGGATTTGCCAGCACCCACTCAGGTGACTGCCCACTCAACTCGGAGCGCAGCCACATCTGCGGCGTGGCTAACGCAAGCTCCGGTGGAAGAGATTTGCAGGGCCGCAACCTGGTCCTCACCTTCGGTTTTCATTCGACATTACCGTTTAGACTCCCTAGCAGCAGCAGACGCGGCTTTTGGCAGAAGAGTTCTTCAACAAGTCGTATCTGCTCAGAGTTCGGTAGCCTAGACATTCCCTCCCAGGGGGACATGAGGGCTTTGGTATGTCCCATCCATTTGGACTCTACAGCCATCCTGCTGGAGAAGGGGCGTTGTCTTACCTGAACGCCTTTTCTCAGCAGGATGATGTAGAGTCCAAGCCCACCCAGAGGATAGGTCTAGGCAGGGAGATAATAATGATATAATAAAGAGCTGCAATGTTAATTCCAATAAAGTTTCTCGCCTAAGTCAAAACTGGGGTCACGACCAAAGGAAGGGGTGTGGCCGAAGTTTTTACCCAGTCTGCCAGGCAGGAAGGCCGTCATAGAACCCATCCATTTGGACTCTACATCATCCTGCTGAGAAAAGGCGTTCAGGTAAGACAACGCCCCTTTTCATGATACTGTGGCAAATATGGCTAATATCTGAGATCTGTTATGAGACAAAATATTAATTGTGCTGAAAGTATATGGCAGAAGACGTTACTCATCACAGTGTTCCTTCATATAAGTGGGTGAAATAATACATCTGTTGTCTTTGGCCATGGTAAAGTTAGCAGTCTATAAATGTTCAATGTGACAGAGGAGTTTAGATTGCCTAGAAAATAAATGATAAGAAATGAACTAAAGCAACATTTGTAAATGATTATCACTGTTTACCAGTGAAAAAGTGAATAAACCCTTGCCTAATGTAACCTCCAATAAAAGGACATGGTAATTTTTTTTTCAAAAAAAATCTTTTTTACAAAATAATATTTCTAGTATTTTCATGGTAATATAGTAACCTAATTTTCTTTTGTTACGGTGAATCCAGGGGGTTTCTTAATAGCTGTGAACCTCCATATTATTTTGAACGAGTTATCTTTTAGTATCTGGGGCAGAGCACATTTTATGGAAGAAAGATGCAGCAGTACATGTAGCTTTGAGTTGGAATGGAGTTGCTGCCTCACTTGCTTTCTGGCAGATCCTTTCCCATTATGTGCAATCAATTTTTCCTTCTTTGGCCAATTTTTTAGCATATAAATATTGTACTGTAGGAAGTCACCTCCCCCCCAAGAATGAAATATTTTGGGGAATATTAAAAGAGGCAAGATAGAATATTTCCCCTGAAAGAGAAATGGAGAAAAATATCTTAAGCAGAAACAGCTCCAGTCTCCCTTTCCTCAGACAGAAACCTGAGGAGGCCAACCTTTAGAAATGGAGATTTGGTAATCCATTCAGAAAGACTATTCATAACCAAAATGCCTTCAGTCCCCCCAGCTGATGGGATTAAGAATTTACATTCCCCACCCAGCTCCAAGGACAGGGCATGACTTCCCAGCCACAATGGATTTCAGACAACAATAGTTAGAATAGCAAAAGGGCACATTCAAGCACAGGTCAAAGTATATTTCACAACAGGCATCTCAAACACAAAGCCCCAAAGAAGGTATAAAAATTCACCCACTCTCCATTTTGTCAGCTGTCCCAGAACTGCATGCTGTTGTTGGTTCTGCTCATCAATAAACAGACCTTTCTTAAGCAACCTCCATTTTATTCCCGGCTTGGAACTGGACCCGATTTTTCTTTTAACAGTACTATTGTGGAAACAACTTACATTTCCAATTATTTCTCATTCAGAATGCCATGCATTATGGCACTGCAGCAAAATACCTCACTTTTCTGGTTAGGGGAAGAACAGATTTTGGGATACCCTACAAAAATATAGAAGTTGTGGTGGAATATTCAAAACGTGATTTCTTTAACAGTTTTTTTTTTTGAAAAACATTCTTCATAATATACATGTATCAGGTTTAAATGTAGAACAACTAGGTACAGGAAGTCATTCTATATATCCTTAAAATTGAAACTTTGCATTTTTAACATTCTTGTGGGAAGAAAATGTGAAGAAACGAAAGGCAATGTTGCAGAGCCTCATGAAATTGTACCAAGGATACCTAAGGATTGCATGCAGTTTTAATATTTTTAATGTATGATATTTCATTAGAAATACGTTTTGTTATTTAAAAGATTGAAAAAGAATGCCTCTTATTTTCATGTCAAATTTAACTGTTTTCTCTTGCAGTATAACTTTATCTTTGTTTACTTGGAAGGACTTCCGCGTCAAATGGCCTGCAGGCTAGTTGGAAAGTCGCATTGGTGTAGATTTTATATCCATTTATCGCACAAGTTCGCTCTTAGTTTACGCTGTCCTACTAGCGGTCTAAACCTGACCGGAATGCATCGCTGGCTGAACTAAACGAACCTCTCAAGCGCGGGAGTCTTGGGGGGGGGGAAACAGACGAGATTCCCCACCTGCCAATAACTGAAGCTTTTATCCCGCTTCCAGTTACGATTGCCGTGTAACCACTTTGGTTCGGGCGGTAGCAGTCAGAGTCCCGCCCCGCCCCCGCGTGGCTCGTGCGCGTTGACGCTCGCATGACGCAGATGGCAGGCGTGCCGGCGGTGACTTGGGGGCCCCTCCTCCAGAAGATGGCGAGTCCGTGCGGGCGGCAGAAGTGCTCCATCGAGAGGCGCGGCTTCCGCCACCAGCTCGACTCGTGGCGACACCGGCTGCTGCGCTGTGTGGGTGAGAGACCGAGCGGGGAGGCGAGGAGGCCTTCTGGGAGGACGGGAGGCTGACCGCTGTTTGACCCCCCCCCTTTCCTTCCCTTGCAGCGAGGGGACAGCGCGCCGCACCCTTCCCCCCCACTCACTCCCATCTGCTCACTCGCTCGCCGGCTAGCCATGCACGCTCCCGCCCGCGCGGATCGGTCGCTTCTCGCGCGCTCTCTACCCCTCCCCCATTTGCGCCTCACGGAGCAACCGCGGCCTAGGCTCCGCCCCGCCCACTCCGGCCTGGTCTCCCGCCCCTTTGGGGGAGAGGAAGAGGGCTCTTTGTTTGGGGGAAGGGGTTAGGCCGGTCTGTATCCGCCGGAACGGGTGAAGGAAGGAAGTGTTTAGATTAGCCGTAGCCGCGCGATGCACATCCGTGATGAGAAGCTGAGCGACTTGGCGAAAGTTGCCCTTGATGGGATGATGGTGGAGTCGAATCGTTCCGGGTGACCACGCCCCTCTCATATTCCCCAGATTTTAACAAGCGGATCGCCATGGCCACCCCTTTTTTTTTTTCTCCTCACCCCGTTTACTCCTTTTGACAGCCGAATTATATCCGTAACTAAGCAGTAGCATTTTCTTAGCATTAGTTTAGGCGCAAACGCTAACTTATTTTGGTGTGGCACGGTCGAAAGATAGTGGTCTTTAACTCATATTTTAAATATCTAAATTAGATTTTGGTCGAAAATAGATCCTGCGGCTTAAGCTACCTTTAAAGGAAATACTGATTTCCAAATGCTTTGAAAGCTAATACTGTAAATTGTTTTTTTCCTGAAAAAATAGCTGTTATTGCAATCATAATTAGCTGCTAGAGATAAAACAAAGATGAAGGTGAAGGATGCACTAATTTAGGACACAAGGCTTACTATCTGATTGAATTTCAAAATGTATAAACAATATAGGCGGCTTTCAGTAATTAATAATGTCTCCAATCCTGTACAAGTCTGTTCAGCACTAAGCCAGACTGAGTTCAGTGAACCTTTTTCCAAGGTAAATTAGTACAGGATTATATCCTAAACGTTTTTTAAATTCATGCTATATATATTCTCTTGATTTTCTTGAAGAGCGATGTGTTTTCCTTCAGATTATGACAATACTGTACTTTTAGTAACTCAATACTTGACTTTGGAGTTCTAAGTTTACAATGTAATCTTTTGCATGCTTATTTGGAAGTACACTCATGGTTTTAGAGACATTATTGCCAAATAAGTGTAGTTTAGAATTACAACATATATTGTAACAGGAGTAGTAGAATCTAAGGTCCTATTCTTAAATAGCGAAGGAAACATGCTGGAATATGTTCACTGTGATCGTAAAAATATTTAGTGCTGTTTTACTTTAAAACCCCAAATTTTAGCACAAGCAGAATTCAATTTAATAATGATGTTTATTTTAATTCAGTTGTTATATGCTTATTTATTCTTAATCATGTACTTGACCTTTTTTTTTTTTTACAAAATATTGATTATTTGAATTCAAAATATGGAATAATTGCTGTTTGTTCCCCCAATATATTGCTCAGTAAACTATTTTGGTTAATTGTACCAAAAATAGCCCATGGTTTGTGGGAATGTATTGTTAACTGTAAGCATATCTGACTAAGGTTATGTCATGAAAGTAACTTAAAAGAGTTAATATTTTTAAAAAAAAATTGATGAAAACATATATTTTAGTGCTGCTTTTTTAAAAAAACTGCAAAATGTAATGTATTTAACACATTTCGTTTAAGGAGACTTGTATATAGAATTTGTACAGATTAGTCTCTAGTTACTAGGAGATGAATCATTTTGCTTCGTCCTATATCGCTTGATTTAACATGCATGTATTCTCTCATTTAATCTATTTTCACAAATTCGTTAGTGTTCCTCATTGTGATGTTCTCCAGATGTACTAAATATAGATCTTATCTTCAGCCTGTATTGGCCTGTTTTGTAGGGGAAATAGTTGGAAAGGTTTCTTGGGTTGAATTGTACTTTCAGTTTTAGAGGGCTTGGGGCTGAAACTGATTTCTGGATGTATTGATAATGATCTCTTATTCAAGTAGAACTATTAAAGTTAGTTGTAGGCTATAAAGCAGTTTGGATAATTTTACCAGTCAGTTTCTGAGCAGATGGTAACACCTAGCTGACCTTATTTAGGCTCAGAAGCTGACCACCAGGGATTTCCAGATTGTAGGCTAGACTTGGAAATCAAAACAATTACCCAGAAGGCATTGGCAGCTCCATATTGCTGCCACAAACATTATATGGATGGTATCCACGAAGTCTCCAGAAGCTGAACTTGATTTGGAGAGTATTTTTTATTTTAGCAACCTAATGTACTCTGGGGAAAAAATATTATTAATGCTAAATGCTTCACTCCTTTTCCTCTTGCCTTCTTTGCAGCCCCAGTTTCCATTTGGGTGTACTTTCCCCCTCTTGTGTAAACAAAAGATATGAAGGAAATGACTAAACTGTGAAGGTTAATCACCTAGTCATCCAGATTATTTTTGGAGGTAAAGTACAAAAACATTTTAGACAGTCCAAAGTATAATTATGTTAGTGATATTTTATCTTGATAGTATTGTACCTAATAGTTTGAACTTAAGTTGATTCATTTTATGAGGTGGTGTTTACTTCATGTACTAGCTCTCATAAAATTGCTAGAATATATTAAGGTATTTTCTGATCCTTGTTTCACAGAAGTGAAACAATTGTATATAATTTCATTTTCATTTATGAGAAAGGAAAGCCCAATAGTACAGAATATTATCTGTTTTGTTTGCATAGTTGATCTTGAGTAGCAGAGCTGAAAAAGAAATTTATTACTTCAGAGGCTAGGTTCCACATAATTTGTTTACATATTGTACAAAGCAGGTGATCTAGCCTTTTAAAGGTAACAAGTAGGGGAAATGGAAGGAAGATGGAATATTTAAATTGGAGTGCTATAAAATCATTAAAATAAGATCACAAATTTTGTGTTCTTAAGCATTTTGAAATGTATAAAGGCATAACAACTTAATTTTAAACATTATTTGTATGCTTTGATTTGGGATACAGAAATAGTTCTTAAAATATATTCTTTAGAAATGAGTTAGTCTATTTTTATCAATATACATTTGGAATAAAAGCTATTTGTGTTCAGAAACTAGAAATAAGTATTATAATTTCCTTAATATTTGCCTATATGTTGGGACTACAACTAGAAATGATGATTTGCAAACTAAAAAACAAGTTATTAAAATCTATCTTTTATAATATAATGAAAGGACTATAATTGGTACCAATAAGATTGTTGTGTTATTGTTTTTGATTTGTATGTTGCATACTATCTGACTATCAGGTGAAATAAGAACTATTGCAATGGAATAACTTTTTCAGATTTTTACTTAATTTCAAAATGTGCTTTTGTTGGCATGGATATTATAGCAAATGAGGAAATTATTTAGTTTCAGATAAAATGTGCCATTTATACATGTTGGAATGCAGAGAGGTTTACATAAACCTTTTCATGAACTTACATAACTTTTTTATAGAAAAAAATCCCATTATAGTTAGTGTACTAACTTGTAAATAGCTATTATACAGGAGGTTTTTAGGATATATTTCAGATAACTTTCTAGACTAAAGATTAGAAAATATTTTCGCTCAGTCATTTGGCAGTTAGTGGCCATCTCTTTCTGAATCCTTAATAAATATCCATTATTGTATATTTAATACTTACTTTTTCTGATTACCCTGCATGCAGATATTGGAGCTCATCTTTAGGTTTTTTTTATCACTTGCACCTATACTATATAAACATGTAGTCATTTTGTGTCAAGTGAAGAAAAAAAAATGGCTTGATATTCTGTGTACTTTTTTTTAATGTACATTGGCAGATTTGAGTTTCAGACTTTTGGAAACCACTAGATGAAAATCTATAATTGTGATATAGATCTTATATAGATTAGATTTATAATCTCATAAACATAATTGAATCTGTAACTGAATATTTTTAGTCTTTTACTTATAAGTATAATTTTATCATATTTATAGGCAATGTAGCAGAAGTTGAAAGAACTGGCACTATCTGATTTGGAAAAGAATACTGATGAAACAAATCCTGTCTTCAGAGAAAAGTATTCAGTTATGCAGGACAGATGAAGTTCAGGAAAGGCCTCTGGCAAAAGAGTGACAATGAGGTTAATATTAAGCGCCCTATGTTCCTTTGCCTGACATCTGGTAGTACTGTATTGGTGAACACACAACTAGGAAGGTACATAAAAATGTCAAAGTTATTAATTTGTTGTGCGTTGTTTAGCTAGCAGATCTCTGAAAGTCATAAAAATTGAATAATAGGAAACAGTGCACCAAAATGTCAGAAATCTAGCATAAATTTATCTTTACATCAGATTCCCTCAAGATTGTATACATTGACAAAAGTATTTGACAAAAGAGTCTTTTATTACAATTATCCAAGGTTGTATCTCCATGACATTTATCAGAAGTGAGACATTAATTCTTAGATAAATAATTAGATTAGGAAAAATTGTAATTTTTTTAGAAATTGTTTCAAGCTATCTAAGAATGAAATCTCATTTCCTCCTTTATGTCTGATAAGCAATTTTATAAAACTTGTAGAACTATTAAATATTTGATTATGAAAGACTGTATAGTGCTGATCTGCTTTGTAATTTTTTTAATTCTATTGCGGTCTATTCTAATGGGAAACATGACTTAGTTAAAAAAAAAGAAGTCTTTTTCACTGGCAGTAATTTATAGATTACTTATAGATTAACACTATATGGTGAATCTAATACCTCAAGAGAGATATTCCAGAGAGTTGAGAGTGGACTTCAGAAACATTAAATGTATCTTATAACTGAGAAGTGAATGATTTAACTTAAAAAAGCTACATTCTGAAATATTTTAATAGAGCGATAACTTATAGGAAGTTAAAAAGAGAAATTGGTATTGCTGTTGATGCATTGTTATTAACCAAGAACTCCTCAATATGTAAAATATGCGACAGCTGATAACCTTAAGTGTAAAACAATTATGTTTACATAATTGTGGTCTTCAGTAACAGTTATTCTCATGAACTCCTATTTTCAGAGTTCCGTTATTTCTTTGCATCAAATTTGCATGCTTTTGTAAAGCAGTGAAAAATGTTAAAGCAAATTAAATTTCATAAAATGCAAAGTTGTATGTTTTAAGCACTCAGGAACTTATATATACTATAGTTAAGGGAACAATGTATATGTAAAAATACATTGCCATTTCATCAAATGTGAAGTGACCAATGTATTTAAAAGTGTCTTTGTCTTTAGCAGACACAAAAATGGTAATTGGAAAAAGGGTTGGGTTCCATCATGAATGTGTTTCAGAGGGAAAAGCTGCAGTGTGTACATGAATGTGCCTTTTATAAGCGACACGCACACATTCTGCTAAACATAATAAAGTATCTCATAAAGTTACCCTTAGATTAAAGATGGTTCTGAATAAATAGCTTGCTTGAATATTTTAATGTTGTGCAGGATTTTCTATAGATAATGAAAGAAAATCCTGTCTTACAAATCCCTCTACTAAAAATAGACAGTATTGCATTTCTTTTTTCCCCTTTGTATGGTTAGATGTTTCTTTGTTTAAACAAATATTCCGTCAGATGGTATGTAGTAATACAATATCTTTTAAATCTTGAAGATAGCCCATGTTATGTCAAATAGTTTCTGCATTTGTGTCTATGTGGTCAGTATGAATCAATTCCTTCTTGATGGCATAAAATCATTATGTTGTCAGATCTCAATATTTATATTCTAAAATTTTACTTTGCAGTATACTGTTACCTTACATGGATTTTACCACTTTTCTCTGAGGAAGTATATATACCTGTGTATATATTGGATCATAACATTCCTCACATATAATTAAGATAAATCAGAAAAGCCTGGAACACAGATAAGAAATTTTAGTGCTGAAGGTCTGAATTCCAATCCTTCTGAATTGTATGATATAAGGTTACTAGTGAGGGGGAGGGGCCATGTGTGACAAAGTCAAACTGTAAAGATCTCAGAAAAAATTTTCAAACTAATATTCTCAATAGATTCTAAATAAAATACATTTACAAAATGATAGAGAATCAGTCTATCAGAGGTAATTGGTCTGTCGATCAAGGAAACCTTTTTTGAGACACAGTACAGTTTTTGAAGCTTGCTATCTGTTGTACTTTATTTTTCCAGGTTGTTTTTAATTGTGTGCTGAAAATCTTATGAAGAGATTTACATAAAGCCACCTAGGCTATAGTGCTGTATTGTCTTTTGTTATAAGATGAACCATATGTGTTAACCAGAATAATATGTAACACGCTGCCATTGATTCAAACCCATATAATTGTATTGTACCATTTGTTTTAAATCAAGGTAGCCAGGGGGTGTTTTCTGCCAAAACAGAGGCTAAGGAATTGCTAGTCAATTTTTCATAATTTTTCACTTAGATTCTGGTGGAAAGTCAAGTGAACCTCCAGTCTTATTTCGAAAGTATTTATTGTTGAACTGTTTCCATTAAAACAATAGTTTATTCTGACAAAAAGAGCTAAAATGTGTTTTTCTTTTGTAAATTCTGGGGCTATTTTTTTTATACTTGATGGAAATAAAATCAATGTAGAAAAAATTGTCTGTGCCATATAGCTGGAAATTTAGGTAGAAAAGTAAATATCTTAATAGGAATGTGCACCTTTTGCTTCCTAAGCACGCTTATTGCATCTTTCTGAGAAGAAATGTAGTTTCCCCCTTTTAAAAGTTCTGTAACTACAATACAAGGACCATGTGTATGAAAGTGAATGAAGGTTTCTATAGAAAATGTTCATGGTTAATTTTACTCAGTGTAGTGAAGCTAGAGTATTTTATTGTGGCTCAGAAATGAAACATCTCTACTCCTGCAGTTTTCTTATCTCTCACTGCTCCTGGTATATTGGGATGTTTGGGGGGGAGGGAGCATTTTCACTGTCTGTTGAATTCCGATTGCGTATCATTGTCATGTTTTTCCTTCATGTCTCCCAAAATCCATTTGTATTTTTGTTCTTGCTAATGTTTGTAGCAGTACCCAAGTAGTGCCATCTGTGAATTTAACTAACATGCTGTTTACCCTTTTTTCCAGATCCAGTTTCTGATCCTACTTCCACATTTGGGAGTAAGCAAGGGACAAAAACACCTCTTTGCATAGCTTGACTGGATGCCCAAAGACTAGGATGTTAGTATGTTTAAACTATTTTCATTACTGTATTGTATTGCCAATGTGTGCACATTGGTTGTTAGGCTAGAATAGTGTTGTGAATGCAAAAGAAAGTTAGCTTCTGTAAATTTGGCCAAGATGTTCAAATTGTCTGGCAAAAGCCGGGCTCCTAATTAATTGATATATGATAGATTTTTGGAAGCATAAATTAAGGTCTGTTCTCTTTCTCAGGAAAGCTAAGAAAATTGTTTTAAATAATTTAAAATAATTTAAAACCTCCTTTTAAACATGTTTCAAAAAGTGTGTACTTATATAGTGTGGCTTGCATTAGATTATCATTAACTAGTTTCAGATAAGTTGATAAATTGAACTAGTATTGTTCTTTAGGTACTGATCAAATAGTTATCAAAATAATGAGATTATATTTTCCATTTTGATTTTATTTTAAAATCTGTTAATTATGTCCCATAGTTGAACATTTATAATTTTTATTGAGATTCCATGTTGAGTAGGTCAGTTGTAGATTGTTTGAAAAATGTGATTTCTTAGCTGGTTTATATTGTTATATACCCATATACAGGTAGTCCTCGATTTACGACCACAATTGAGCCCAAAATTTATCTTACTAAGTGAGACCTTTGTTAAGTGAGTTTTGTCTCATTTTATGACTTTTCTTGCCATAGTTGTTAAGAGAATCACTGTAGCTATTAAGTTAATAACCTGGTTGTTAAGTGAATCTGGCTTCCCCATTGACTTTGCTTGTCAGAAGGTTGCAAAAGGGGATCAAATGACCCCAGAACACTGCAGCTGTCATAAATACGAACCAGTTGTCAAGCATCTTAATTTTGATCATGTGACCACGGGGATGCTGCAACGGTCGTAAGTGAAAAACAGTCATAAGTCATTTTTTTATCTTAATTTTTTTATTAGTTTATAATAAAAAACAAAGGAAAATAGTGGGAAAGTAAGGGAGGGAGAAGGGAAGGGGAAAGTGTAGGCCAAAGGGGAAAAAAGAAAGCAAAGATGTTGACTTCCGACTCTCTTTGGAGCAGTAGAATAAGATAATAGCATCAAACCTCAACTTTTTACTTTTACATAGTAATATAAATTGGCCATGACTATAACAACAAATCAAAACCAGAAATCAAAGTTTCAATTTTTTTGCACCTCCAGCAAAAAATCCAGAAGCGGTTTCCAAGTAGAAACAAAAGTAATTGTGTTCTTTTCTTTAATCAAAGCAGTCAATTTAGCCATCTCTGCTAACTCCATCAACCTTTGGTCATAGGTCACTTTTTTCAGTATTGTTGTAACTTTGAATGGTTACTAAACAAACTGTTGTAGGACTATCTGTACTGAACTAGAGGACTATCTGTATATTCTGTAATAAGGATTGACTGAGAAGCTAACAGTTGGATAGGGATTTTAAATCAGTCCAATCTTTGGTAGCGAATCTTCTTCCATATTTTAAATATTTGGCATCTATTAATTGCTAAGCAATTTGAAAAAAAAATAGGTTCTTTAATGCTTTCATAGATAAGTTCACCTTAACTACATGAAGTCACTACAGTGTTATGTTTGTCTTAGCTTTTTCCACCTTTCCTCCTATCTTTGAAAAGTGTGAAGTGAAAATTACTATATAGAAAAGCTGCAATAGTTTGTATTGTACTAAATAAAAACAGAAGAAGGTAGGGATTACAGGGAGGGTAGAAAATGGAGACTGTTGAAGTACGCTGATAGAGCAAAAATATTCTCTATTGCAATTTGCCCCTTATGAACATAACTTAAACTTTGAGAGGCAACTGGTGCAGATTTTACAACTTTGACAGAGATAGCTCTCTTAGACAGCATTTATACTTTTTTTTTTCTGGAGATGCCGCATATTACTATGGGACTTTGTTGAATTTGTTTTTGATGGCAGGTGGGGACACTTTATGTTCTTGTTCCTTGATGTGATTATTCAAATGTACAGGCTGAATGAAGCTTTTTAAAAGTGTTTTCAAATGTTCAGCATTAAAGATCCTGTGTATTTTTGCAAGCGTCCAGTAGGTTAGAGCAAGTATATAATTATAATGTAAAAATGGCAAATGAACAAAGAGATAAGTTCAAGATAAAAATGAAAATATGATGAGGAAAAATAGAGAACAGCAATTTGTACAGTATAGGACAAACTTGTACAATAGTTAAAAGAAACAAAATGAATGAGCGAAAGAAAAAATGATACCTGAAGTGTGACTGATGTACAGTATTGAAGCAGAAGATGATGATAATAAAAGGAAGAGGTAGAAATAAGGGATATTTAAGCAAAAGAGAGAAATGTTCAGAAGGAGAATTCTGTTACAGAATATTATATGCAGTCTATTTAGTAAGATGCCTTCTAGAACAGGGGTCAGCAACCCTAAGTCTGCAGACTGGTATTGTCCGCAACCCCTTAGGAACCAGGCTGCACAAGCGAGCGAAGCTTCATCTCTGCATGTGCGGGATCTAGATAGCGCACAAAAAAACCCATGCCCCCCCCCCCGTTCGTGTAATTTTTTTTCTTCCATGGAACGAGTCCCTGCTGCCCACAATGTTGGGGCCATTATTCTAGAAGACTTGAAAACAGACTCTTCCATGTATTGCTCTGTTAGTATGTAATGGTGAGCTGCTCAGTAGGAAGAGTTAAATGAGCCCCTGAAAACTTTTTTCATGATTTGTTTATCGTGATATGTAAACTTGCTTCCCTGGCTTTTCTCTTCTTAAGGAGTCAGGAATCAAAAGCCAAGAACAAGTGATGGTTTCCAACTCATTACTTTTGGCAGTGGATCAACCCAGAGATCATGGTTTGCATGTCTTACCATTGAAGAGTTTTTGAGGGTTAGATGCTTCTGATGGCATTTAATGCCAAGCAGGAGCAATTGAGCATTATGAATTAGTGCAGTATTTATTGCTAGAAAGCCAACATTTCTAGAATTCTGAATTATGGTAATAAATGCACTGTGATAAGTATGTCTTCTGATTTCTGAATGCCAAATACAGTTTTTAAACCTTATCTCTTTCTTTGAGACAAAACCCAATGAATAATCTGTAAAGAATAGGAGTTTTTTGAGGTCTTATATTTGCTGCACTAGTGTATTCTGTCCCTGGTACTCTGCATCTCTGTTTTATCAAAGAAGAACTAACATGCCTAAGTAAGATTATAAAAGAAGGGCCAATTATTTCATAACATTTGGTTGAGGCATGAAGCAAGGTAAGATCTGTAGTTGTCAGCCCTAAAGAGCAGATCAGACTAAGAAACTAATGTCATATAGGCCTAAAATTATTTTTATTGAAATGGCTTTAGTTGCAGAATATTGCAGGTGGTAATGTATTCCCCTTCCTCATTTTATTTTTGTGAAAATTAAAGAGGAGCCTGTCTGAGACATTTTCTCAAGTTAGTTTTTGGAATAGACTTAAACAATCTTTCCATTGTCCTTCAAAGACATTAATGCCCTGGCCTCTCTAGTAACAGTGTTTGGAGATTTGAAAAATTAAACCACTTATAATATTCAAATGTCCCAAATGATCACAAAGATGTCACAAAAAGAGGGGGTCAATCTATTCTCCAAAGCACCTGAAGGCAGGACAAGAAGTAATGGATGGAAACTTATCAAGAAGATACAACCTAGAATTAAGGGAAAATTTCCTAAGAGTGAAAACAATTAGTGGAATGGCTTACCTCCGGAAGTTGTGGGTGCTCCATCACTAGATGTTTTTAATAAGAGATTGACTACCATTTGTCTGAAATGGTATAGAATGCCCTGCTTGAGCAGGGGGTTGGACTAGAAGACCTTCAAGGTGCCTTCTAACTTTGTTATTCTGATATTCTCTTATCACTGTCACAGTTTGGCTCAAGTGGAGAGCCCAGCTTTTTTATATACCAATGTCAAGAAGATTTACTATGCTTTTAAATACCCAAAGGCACATACATAGAGAGGATGATTTTGCTTAAAGTATTTATCAGAGAAAGCTTTGAAAAAGAAAGGTAAAGGAGAAGAAAAACCCTTTACTGCATCTCACCACCTCAGGATTGCAAGCCCATGAATTATATGTATGAATATGTATAACAAATATACATATAACAAATTCCCCAATTAGTTTTAAAATTGCTTGAACTTGAACAGTAGATGATCACGTAGAGCAGGGGTTCCCAACAAGGGGTGCGAAAACTTGGGTTTTCAAAACTATAATGTATGTGCATAATTTGTTGCTGTTATTTCAAACTTTTGTAAGGGGTGTGAGAATATATCAGAAGCGTTCTAGGGGGCTGGGATATAGAAAAGGTTGGGAACCACTGAAATAGAGCAAGGCTTTTCAACCAGTGGTACGGGTACCACCTGTGGTACATAGGCACCTGGCAGGTGGTACGCGACCTAGAAAAGTGGCTGTGTGGGAAGGGAATGAGCTGAACTAGTAGCAACACCGCACAAGCCTGAGCGAGAGATGGCTGGAGCTGCAGGGCTGTCAGGGCTCAGCAGAAGAGCCAGGATCAGTACCGCTTTCCAGATGATCGGCGCTTCTTTGGGGCTATCAGGGCTCAGTGGAAGCGCCAGGATCAGCGCCAGGCTCTAGCTGGAGCTCGGCGCTGATCCTGGTGCTTCTGCTGAGTCCTGAAGAAGCACCAATGAGCTGGAAAGTGGCACGGATCCTGGTGCTTCTGCTGAGTCCAGAAGAAGCACCGATCAGCTGGAATGTTGCAGCATCTCCAGGGTCTTGTGATTTACATTCAGATGCTTGGCAACAGATTCATATTTATGATGGTCACAGTGTCCCAGGGTCATGTGAAGTGACCAAAACCTGCTGCAACCACCCAGCAGACAGAGGGAATAAAAACCAAATACCCCCCACCCCACCCCCGCTGCCAATCCTCAACAGAAATGCTCACAACAATGAAAACCTCAGA